TAGAAACTGATGTATGGCAAACGGAACAACTTTGATAGTGAAGTTGAGTTGTAGATCTATTTAGAGTGTTTATTTTTTAATGGAAATGATGTCTTATATGCACATCTTACAGTGTGTTCACGTTCATCACAGCATTGAATTTAAAAAGACTGTGTGTGTGCTAACTGTAGACAAAACTCCAAAGTAATATTTTACATCATTATCCAGGAGCCTCAGACAAAAAGACAAGAATCACACAGGTATTAGACCAGAAAGTCGGGTAATCACAGATGTTTGCCAACAGGCAGACTCAGAATTATAAATACAGACTGGCTGTTGCTTCCTGTGCAATTGCGCACTGCTGTCACAAACAATGCGAGGAGAGTTGACATGATGTAGTGGTGTTTGCTCTTGGCTTAACAGAATGCAACTGTGGAAGGCAGCTAATGGCTCTTAAAGCACAGGCCATTTCAGCTTGAGTCCGGAGGCCGCCAAAAAGACAGACCAGCACACACACACACACAGAGGCCGGCATTGTCAAGTACACAAGGGATGCCTTTGCTGCCATTCAGTATTCTAAGCAGCTTCTTTTTTTCATTACTGTCTCTGTGTGTAGTCTCTGAGGTATTTTCAGTCATGGGCAGGAAGAATATTAAGGAATATTAAAATATCATCCTCAATGAGCCTCCAGTCTTACATTTATGATATGTAAAATCATCAGTCATAGGTAGGGTCAGATTGGGATATTAACAGAGGTACACAGACACTGAAATTGTATTTTCCATGACTGCTACTTAAATGTCAGAGGTGCCAAGATTTTTTACTATCAATTAAAGAAGATAATGAAAATGCATCTTGTGCAACATTCAGTAATTGATGCTCATGCTGAGACTACTTATTGATTATTTCATTCCCAGAGAAAAAATAGAGACAGTGTTCAGAATTGATTTAATCATTTCATTCATTTATCAAGAAAACAAACAACCATTATTTGCTAGTTACAGCTTTGAATTCCTTTTTGTGTTTTTTGACATTTGGGAAAAGAAAGAAAACAGTTTTAAGACTTTGGGCTGTAGCTTGTGTTGTGTATGAGTCATTCACATTCACATATTGATACTGACAGTTACATGAATGACTCAGATGCTCAGCATTAACCAATCCACTTTAACACTTGGTACTCTTTTGGTTTTTGGAAGGAGAACACAAGACTAACCAAGACACATGTGAATAAACCTTGTTTTTCCTGATAGGTCTGTTTACTCCAGCAGCCAGTTTGCTTCTCTGAAAATCTTGTTAGTGGCTGAAATCTGTGTGAGAGGGCCTGTTGAATTTCAGGATGAACACATTCTGCTCTGGTAGCCAGTTAAGTGTTTGATAGTCCGGTCTGTAGAGTCATTGAGCAGCAGTGGGTCATAATCTAGTGTTGGGTGTAAGCTGTCTTGTGGCTCTGACCGACAGCTGCTTTCTCCAAACCCCTTTCACAGAAGATCTCTTCCTAATGCTCGGCCTAAGCTCCTTCTGTCCTGTCTTCTCTCGCATAGTAAATGACAGTTTGTGACAGTGCACGTCCATATGGCATTCACTAATTCGGTGAGGTTGAACGCAGCTCAGTAGTTGCAGTAACCTTTAAAGATGAACCTGAGAATACGTCAGTTAACACGTTTCAACCAGTAGGTGGTGCTGCTGCCACAAGCTGAGTGATCTGTCTGCTATGTTTGCTGGTGGTAATGTTCAAGATGTAAGCAAAATGTACTCACTGTGGCATATTTTCTCTCTCTGTGTGTGTGTGTGTGTGTGTTCGTTCGTTCAGAGGGCCGGGCGGGCTTTGCTGCAGCTGAGGATGATGAATGGTCTCTTCCGCTAGAGCTGGATGTGTGGGAATGATGGACCTCCCTAATGGTCAATCAAGCATCACCACCACCGCTGCAACAGTCTCTGAGGTAAGGCCACGCCCACTCGCTAGACCTCCACCCACTCTATTCAAAGTTCATCTTGTACACTCTTCTTCCAGCACGTTTTGATACTGGAAGCTTTAGTGTTTGATTATGTTGTGACAGGATGTAGTCAAGTGTGTTTTTTTTTCTGCTTGAAGTATTCAGTCAACAAATTTTTAAACACGACTGGTTATTTAACCCTCTCAAACCTTGCATGCCACACCTCTCTCCTCCACTTGATAACCTTGTTCTTAATGCAGCTGTGTGTGTGTTTGTCTTCTAGAAGAGCAGCAGCTCAGAATCTCTCAGTGACAAGGGTTCTTCAGACCTGAAGAAGAGTTTTGATGCTGTTGTGTTTGATGTGCTGAAGGTCACCCCTGAAGAATATGCAGTAAGCTAAGTTTTAAGTGTTTCTGTCTCTGTCGGTCCTTGTCTGGTTAACCTGTATGTTTGAGTGTTTAAAAAATGAAATGTTCAGCAAGCACGAATGTGATGTGCTCACTTGAAAGAGGAGGAGATGGAATGAGAGAGGAGTAAATGGGGTCAGAGTTTGGATCACTAATAATTGATGATGTTTGGCAGTGCCAAGATGGCACTGATGGATTTCCCCCAGGCTGCCTCTGCACTTTTCATGGCAACTATGAACAAAGTAGAAGTCCTGTTTAAAATGAATTAGCCTTAGCTTGTTGTAAGGGTTAATGTTACTTAGGATTGTCCCATAATAAATCAAATAAAAGCATGTTCCTCACCATGTCTTGAATCTTAATTTAATGCTTTGATGTTTGTCCCTTGGTCTGCCCCATTCAACCACAAGAGGGCACTCTTGATCTTCTTTTCCCCCCACAAGTGTCTCTATGTCACATCTCTCCATGGTATATCAAGGCATTTAAAGCAAAAGACCCCTGTCACAGCCTCCTGCTTGTGAGGGTGTAGCCTCTCTAGCAAAAGTGTTTCAATTATTGAATTAATAGTTTATTGACCTTTAGATTGGACAATTTATGATTAATATCATGATGCCTGTATGGCATCATGATATTAGGAAATAATATCTAATAATATATTGTTTTTTGTTTATTGCAGTCTGAACATAGCAAGTCTAACATCTGTTGTGTTTTGTCTCCTCCAGGGCCAGATTACGCTCATGGATGCTCCTGTGTTCAAAGCCATCCAGCCAGAGGTGAGCTGCTATCAGATCAGTGGAGAGAAGAGAGGTGTTGACAGCTTTGTTTGGCTGTCATTTTTGACATATAGTGTGAGAAATAAAGCAAGGCTGTGAATTTTGTTACCACTATCAAACATGTTGTTAATTTGGAAGGTGGGGAGAGTGTATATTTCATCTGCTGTATTTCTTCCTATGTCCCTGTCTTTTAATTTTTCCCTTGCATAACTTCCATGCGGTTGATATCCCTGTACCATGCTGTGTTGTGAGCAGCTGTGCTCAGACCTCCAATGCAGAGCTACATATATGCGGAAATAGGGCATCTGTGTCTCACCAAGTCTTGGACACCTTGTCTGTTGCCTCAGTGGGATCCGGTGTAATCTTATGCTGGTTTGGATTGTTAGGCCCTTGCGATTGTGACAGCAGTCATGGATAACCTGTGTTTAAGGTCGGTCACTGCGGGCTTATAAAAGCAGCATTCAGACCACACAGCCCAGTGTGGTGGTGTGGGTACAGTCTGACTCCTGCTCTTGCACATACACTTGTCTCAGTCTGGGCTAACAGCACACACACTCATCTGGCATAAGATCCATCCCAGATCCCTGTCTTTATTTAATTTTGATAACGATGTTTAGCGTACATAGTTTGCTGTGTCTGAGTGGTGGAAAAGACTAAAGATTAATGTTCCTGAGTAGCTTTTCTCAAGGCTTGTCTTTCGAGTATTGCTGTTCCTTTATCCAGACTTCATTGACGTCGCCTGGACTCCAGCCCCACCGCCTTAACTGCACGGGGCCAAGCTCACTCATAGGCTGCTGAAGGCTTTATGAATGCAAGCATGCTCCTGTGCTCACTCTGGTTTGACAGACTGACCGACTGAGTGGGTTTTATAAGCCTAATGAAAATATGTCCCTGCTTTTCAGTCCAGTGTAGCAAATTGGCAAAATATTGGCCCTGGGTAAAGATTTAAAGTGTCAGATGCACAGGGATGTGATCATACTTTTTGCTTTAAGATGGTGGGATTTGTTTTTTGGAGAGACCTGTAGTGGAAATGAAGAGCGATGTGGAGGGCTCGGGGGTGTGAGTAAGTGAAGAGGAGTCGCTGGCCTGATTTGAAGGGGATGACTGACAAGGAGATGAAGGCTGCAGTCTGGAGGGAGAGAAGGAGCAGAGTGAACAGTGCGCAGAGTGACCCAGCAGCATCCTGGCAGGGACAGAGTGGACGAGAGAGGCTTTTCCTGCTCTCACTGTGCTTTTTGTCTCCCAGCACTGGCAAAAAAAAAAAAAAGCTATGACTGAACTAAAACTCAACTAGAGTTTCCACTGCTGTCAGTCTCCTCTCGCCCTCCTTGCAGCCTCAAGATGGGAAAAGCAGGTGTGTGTGTGTGTGTTGGTGCACGCCTGCTGTTTCACCCGGCTCACAGCCTGAATAGGAAAATATTAAATAACTTCAGTTGTGCAATAATGTTTTTACTGACATACAGCCCATTTTAGCCTTTCAAGCACCCTTTAAATGCCATGTTACAAACTGAAATCTACATGTACACAAATATACGGTAGATAAAATAGGGCTTACTGGTACTTAGGGAACAGTAATGGACATCATTGTGGTTAAAACAAATATTTTCATTTTCTAGAGTGGAAAGAAGACACAGTGTCCATTTCCATGATGGATGTATTATCATTTGTTAGAATAGTTGTGAGGTAATCAACCCTCAACTGAATATGATATCTTAAGTAGAGTTTCATGCATTACTGAACTTGGACACGTCCAGATGTTCTTCAGAAGGTTTCAAGCTGACATATTTTGACTTTTCTCTAACAAACAATAGACGAATCAAATTTTCCATCAGATTGGTTCCAAGTGTTGCCGGTCTGCGGTCGTACAGATTAAAAATTGTTATTATATCAATTTCTATGAATGCCCTTACAACTTAGTTATTGTAGACTAAACTTGTCCTTTAGTCTTATTTATTGCATAGTGCTGATGTTGCCGTCTGGATGTATTAAATTCTGTATCAGCAGTCTGTCATGTTTGGGCTGCTCTAATGTTACTGTTTTTGCTGTACTTCCAAAGCTGCGGTCATTTCCGTAATGGCTGCTACTTGAAATAGTTGGAATGACCATAAACTATGACTTGGCCTGTTTGTGTGTGTGTATTAAGATTTTTTATTTTCCCCTCACCATAAACACATCATAACTATCTTAATATAATGTGAGGGAGTGTGAGAGAAAGAGAGTGCCACAGAGAGAGACTGAGTATCCAAACTCTGTTATGCACACTCTTGTTTACAACATTTTTTACATGTGTATATGATGCATAAACAGACATTCTGGCATCAGCTAGAAAAATTGCCCCAGACAGGACTGCAGTAGAACAGAGGTTCTCATTAACTCAAGTGTTCCAACGTTGACATGGAGCAGATGTATGGAGAGGGGCCCGAAAGATCTCACCAAGCCCTCTGGACGAGGAATAAAAGATAACTGTTCGTCACAATAGCAATAAAAGATTACATGGCAACTGTGGATGGAGACAAAGTCTGGCCAGCCCCTCTGGACAGGAAGCATAGTTTACTATCCTCTTTTCTTCCAAACTTAAACTAAAATGAAAAGGCCAGTATTTTAAATAACCCTTTGATATTGGAAAGGCCTCGAGAGAGCTAGGTTCATAAGCTCAGAGCTGAGCGCATGCCGCTGTGACACAGCAGACAAACAGAATCTAAACTCATCTGCTTTTGATGATATGCAAGTGACAGCTCATAAGACATTGCCATGCATGCTGTACTTTACTTCCTACACGAAATGGACCCTTGTCAGCAGGATACTCATGGTTCTGAAAAAATGGAAGAGATATTGAAAGAGCTGCGGGTCAGAGTGCCGCCAGGGTCTTGTGTTCTCTTTGGAGTACAGGTATAATTGATGAGGACACCAGAAGTTGTTTTTTTTGTGTGTTTTTCTGATGGTAAAATAATCTATAGTGCAGAGTGGACTGATGTTCAATCTACAGCCCTCAGCTGAATTGCTGATATGTTCTTTGGCTGTTGGTTTGCGAAGTGAAATGCCATTAAAATGACAAGATGGATCATAGAGAGGAGGAGGGGAAGGGATGCGAGGGACTTGTAGCTAAATCTTTCTCTCTCATCTAAATTTACGAGACAGTGATTACTAATGGGTTGTAGCATTGGCTGGCTCTGTTTTATCAGGAGCAAACTGGATTAGATAGCTTACTATAGCATGGATGGATCAGCTGACAAGCAAAATGTAGAGATTAAAATGAAGTGAAAAGGGTGTAGAGAATTGTGATGAAATGAAACATCGCTCCCTCTGTTTTTCTGTCCCAGTGTGCCATTTCTAATTTCATAATCAGACGTGTGGCTGATGATCCACAGCTGGATGTTTATGAAATGGTGGCTGAGAGGAAAAGAGAGATTGAGTGATGTAGAGGGACTTGAGAGGGGCTTTTTGGTGGGGGGGAGGGCCGCCTTTGTTTTTAACACACAGTCATGACAACAGCCAAGTAAGTAATTTAGTGGCTTTGGCTGGCAAGCTTCGCTCCAGCTCTCAGGGAATAGCTATCAGATTGCATTTTACGTACCGCTAAGAAGTATGTCAGTTCCTCACATGTGTTAGCGCCCAGTGCAGAAATCCTCTGAACAGATTGAAGGTCTCATGTGAGAGGATGATGACTTGTAGCTGGAAGCAGGTAACATTTCACATACTCAGGCCTGTCTCGCCTGCAGGCTTAATGTTTTCCAGCTCTGATTGTGAGATAAGAAAAACAAAACCATTTAATCAAATATCATGTTCCCTGATGGACAGTCTCAACTGTAAGCGATGTAAATAAAGGCTGCATACAGCTCTTTGTTGGCCCCTGTAGTCAGCACATGTTGTTCCTGGTGGAGGGATCGGACAATAATTGCTACACAACAGACGCAGAAGGGAATCCCACCCACACTACAACCTGTCAGCATGATGGTCTATGAACATTTATCATTGTGAAAGGTGATTTCTTCTTAATGTTTTGGCAGTAGAGAGAGAAAATCCACAATGACAAGATTTTCCTTGTCGGAGAGGATTTTGTCCATTTTTTTAAAGCTGCCAATGGAATACTTTGAGATTTAAGATGTCAATAAACAGTGGAAGACTGCATCATCTTTTATTTATGTTTTACTTTTAGAATATAACAGTAATTATTAGCAAATCCATTATGCAGTTTTTATATAGGAACATGCCTGGTCTGGTTTTACTAGCTAGGACAGATGGCCTGTCCTAACATAAGAACCACATGAGTACATGTACTAAAAGAGCTCCCAGAAAAGTAATTCTTTCCATGGTATGCACAGCAAGGTAATGGAGGCTGCTGCTGGCTTGTACGTCTCCACCAGACTCTAGACTTTAGAACTGAGACAACAATACATTTTACGACCTTCTTTCCCCTTTTGTTCCCTGTCTTTGCTTTACCTTTTTTTTTTTTTTAAAGCTTCAGATGAGTGGCACCAGAAATTTGGCATAACCTGGCATTCAGTTTATGTTTCCTCTGTCTCAGTACAAGCTGAAGTACAGATCAGCAACAGGCGCAACCATGCAGGTTTTCCATTGAACTCCTTCCTGTCATCCTCTGTATATCTCCACCATCTCCTCTCATCTTGCAGCAAGTCTGCCTTCTCAGTCTCACTTCCTCTCCTTCTCATCTTCCTTCTTTTTCCACCCTGTTTCTCATCTTTATCAGCCTTTCCTCTCTTGGCCTGTGGCATCTCCCTAATATTCCCTACGATCCCAATTCTTCAGGTTTCCATTTACATTGTAGACAAAAACAAAAGGAATTGCTGGTGTATCTCACATGAGGTCATCGCAATTTGTAGCTTAGCCGCAGCTGGTTATCTTACTCAGCCTGTACTATTAACGTAATACCCCTCATAATGTACTTTTGTCAAAGCTCTTATCTAAAGCCAGTGTTTTGTTTGTCCATTCTGGGCTTCTTTAGATACATGGCACAAAAAAAATAAATGGCGGGCTCTGTGGAAAGTAACCTGTGGTGTCTGTAGACATAAAAGACTCAAGATTCCTTCAGGTGATTATACACCAATGAAAACGTAGTTATAAATATTATATTCCCTTTCTGCCAATACATCCTCCTACCATAAAAACGCTCTTTCACCCCATCAGTTGCTATTTGTTAACAATCGCAACTTGTAAGTCAATTAAATGTTCAGCCAGAGTTGACGTCAGTTTTTCAGCCCTCTTGTTAACTATACATACACAACAGTAAAGATACAGCCAGCTTAAAGCCGCCCCATAGGACTGTGCTTTAATGAAAATGCTGCTCAGCCAGACCAGCATGGGGAAATGACAGGCTGTCTGTGGTTTGGCGGAGCAGGCTTTTTTTTACTACGCGCTTTTACTGCAGCATTTAAAACCCTCTCCTTACCAGAGCTACCTCGTCAAAGCGTTTCTCCAAAGACTCAACTGTTGTCCGATTTTATTTTATTTTTTTAATTTTTAAATGCTGCCTGCAGTTCGTAATGTGACAGCGTGAAATGAGAGTATAAAGACACAAGAAAAATAAAGAAAATAAAATCCTATTAGTTTCTGGAGAGTCTGTGGCTCAGTTCCCTGCTGCTGAAATACACTCGAGGCACTGGCATTGGTTGGCTGAAGAACAATAGAGCTTAAATGACTTCAAGCCTCAACATTAAGCTTTAGCTGGACAGACAGACGGACGGGTGGTTAGATTGGAAGACAGGGCCCAGGTGGTCCAGCATTGAAGGGTCGGTGTAGGTTGTTGAAATGTTGTGGTCTTGGTGCGCAAGGGAGATGTAGGACCGCCTATGTTCCTCTTCTCGGGTGTACTGCCTACCTGGGTGGTCAGGTGGTGGTCCGAGCTGCGAGACACACAAACACACCCACCACCCGCCAACTGTGGAACGTCTTTGTTTAAGAACCATCCATAGTTGTGTGGAAGCTGGAGAGGCGAATGATTGACACGATGGCAGGAAGGAGGGGAGCGCTTATTTAAAAAAGGACAGATGTTAAATAAACGATGAGCCCTCCTCTGTGAGAGAGGCTAGTGTCTCCTACTCTCTGATTTAGCTCCATCCTGTGATGGTGACAGCATGCTCCAGCTCACAGGAGGCTCCACACAGGCTTGTAAACCTAGTGGGAAGATGCTGTTAGGTCTTTTACAGTGTTGTCTTTTATGGTCTTAACACTATCTCTTCATCTTCTCTCCATTGTCCTCCTTTTTCCTTTCCTCATATCCTCATCTTGACTCAGGAAACATGGGCCCTGAGGCATCACCTCGCCCACGCATGAATGTCTGCTTTTAACATCTGTATTTGATATGTTGAATCTTTACCCCTCGCTGGCTGCCTCTAACGACTCAGAGACTCTCTCTTGACTGAGCAACACTTCTCTTTGCAAGTGTGTTGTCCTGATGGGGTCCAGGTCAGGGAGTTGTGAGCAGTTTGCTAGACGTCGTTGCTTCCAGACAGTCAGTCTCACAGGGGGAGTACTGTGTGTGTGTGTGTGTGTACGTGTGTGGGGGGGGAGCTGCAGCCTGATTCAGCTGTTCATATTGTAGCCCAAGTCGGCTGGGCTGGCAGGGATTAGGAGGAGAGCTTGCACAACATTTTTCCTACTGTTACGTCAGTGTCCTTGGCCTCTGGACAGCCTGCGGGGGCCAAAGGAGGGTCTGGGTTCCCCTTTGCAGTGTCTGTGTGGTCTGCGTCTTTACCTCATCACTGAGGTCAGCCTGGTACTCCGAAAGACGTGACTGTTTGTGTGTTGTTGGAATTTTTCACCGTTCAAGTTTCAAAGTCACCACCCTTTAAGAACAGTATATTTAAATTACTAACAGCACTGCTGCTTCCACAGCTGCTGCTACTTTGTAAGACTGCTATTAGTGCAAGTGCGGAAATGATTAATTGTATAGGTGATCAATAAAAAATTGATAAATGACAGTTTCAGTCACTCACTGAATACTCATTTTGAAGCCATTTCTCAAGTCATAATCCAAGGTTTATTGCCAAGTAGGTTTTCACATACAAGGAATTTGCCATGGTAAGTTTGTGCATAGCAATTAAACATAGAAAAATATAAATAAAGATAAAAACAGAGACAATAAAAAGAGACAATATAGAAAAATATAAAAAAGAGACAATATGGCCGAATACTTAAATAAATGATTGAAGAGCTGTACAGTATGTTCAAAATATTGTCTGGAGGACTCTGCAAGTTAGCAGTGTGACATATAATGATATTGCAACGTGCAAGATAAAATCCGAGCAAAGCGCATTAATGTAACTCATAGATTCAGGGTGGGTGGTGGGTTTAACAGTCGGTGTCAGTGATGGTCCTGGGACTTGTTGATGAGACCAGCTGCAGATGG